TTCAAATCATCGTCGGTTTGTACACAGAAGGTCAGGGCAGAGGTGCTGCAAATTACAAGAAATCTGCCAAAGAGAGTTCAGGCTGTGTTGAAGAATAAAGGTGGTCTGACCAAATATTGACGTTCAAGCTCATTAAACTCTGTTTTTGCCTTATGTGCTGTATTTGTTTGCTCATGTTTAAAAAAACTTCAAGTATTTCCTATTTTCTTAACAAAATATAAAGAAATGGGGGGTGGGTGGTGACTTGAAGCTTTGCACAGTTCAGATATACAACAGTCAGTTACTTCCTGATCCCACTGTCCCTGTTGCCATGGTGCGAGAAAATACACTCCACACGCGAGAGAGTGAGACAGATTATGTTTAGTTTTAATTTCCTTTTCCAACATTAATTCCTACTAATCCCATCTATTCTGCTAAATTAATCAAAGTCATGTCTTTTTAAACTACTTTCAAGAAGCTCTCATGTGCGCCCCTTTTTTATTTACTCTCAATTCTTTCACCCACTCGTGTATGGGATATCACTCTGCCGAGCGTTTCCAAAGCTCTTGTGTTACTTGAAAAAATACACAAAGCAATAATCTGATTTATTTCCTCCGTTTTCAAAAACAAATCAGATATGCGTGCTCCTCGGGGGGAGCTTTTTATGCCTCTTGAAGAAGTTCCAGTCTGGGTTGCAAAACAGTTCTCCAGTGGTTTGTTATTGTAGAAGGAGACACTGCTATCTCTGACACTGCACAAGATTGATGGCCTCTTGAAGGTGCTGGACCTACAGGAAAGTACCAGAAACTTTCTCAGTGGGTCTGAGGAGAATGGCTTTATCGGGAGACAAATGAGGTCATGAGCTATTTGCAGGAGACATACTATAATAATCTAATTTGCTTTCTAGGTTTGGCAAATGAAAAGGGAGTTTTTATTTTAGCTTGAGTGAAATCTTTCCAAGTCCTGTTGTCATTCATAGAAAGTAAAGAGGTGCAGCTGTTTAGACGATGAGGAATGTGCATGGTGAAAATGGGGTCTCCTCTTATTTAAACCTTACTATGAACAATTTTCACAACATATATTTTTAAAACATCACGAGAAACCAACAGTAACATGCACAAACATGAGATTATAATATAATGAAGGCAAATCTAGACAAAACATGCATTAATCAATATAGATGCACATAATTAGGATGCTATATGGTCTATGGTCTCCAAAGTGCGGTCTGCAGCCTCTTTGTGGTCCGTGAAGGTACTGCAAGTAAGTTTTCTTGTTATTTTTGAAATTTAATATTTACTATTAGTATTAATTTATTCGAGTTAAAGTGGTGCGCATCCAAGGAAAGCCATCCATTGTCTTCCGCTTATTCCTATCAGGGTCGCCTAACCCATCTGTCATAGGGAGAGATGTGGGGTACCACCCAGACAGACAACCATTTACACCTATGGGCAATTTAGTATCACGATTTAACCTAACCCCAATAACTGCATGTCTTTAGACTGTGGGAGGAAGCCGGAGTACCTGGACAAAATCCTCGCAGAAATCGGGAGAACATGCAAAGTCCGCGCAGAGAGGCCCCGGCCAAAAGGTGGGCTTAAACCCAGTCGAATGGTCTTGCTGTGAGGTAATGTGATAAATATGTGATATAAAATTAAAGCTTTTATGAAAATCAACCTAAACAAAAAAACAATCAGAAGATCAAAAAGAGGTCAGGGACAACAAACAGATCCTAGTCTTGAGTGTATGAAACTTACTTCCGGAGCCTACATTCAGGAGCAACACTTGAAGACTTGAGCATGAGCAACCATAAGTTCTTCAGCATTCCTTCAGCAGCCTAGCAGAGTGCTAGTTTGTTCAGGCTTCTGTTTGGGAGCGATAAAAAAACACATCAGGTTTTCCAACAGAAGTCTCTCCAAATTTGTGAGCTAATGAGGACTGTATTTCCCAGGCATTAGGCCACATATTTCAGGTCATTTCATCATCTGGTTTACCCAGCATCATAGTTCTCATTCAGTGATGCGATGCCATGTAAAAGTTCTGTTTAATATTACTCACCACCTTCCACCGTCACCTGGAGGAAGTTTTGCAACATCAGCCTCCAGGTCAGCGTGTCTCGATGATGGAACACTGCAGACTACTTCTCCACCACACTCTCATCCACACCCACAGGGGTTTTTTTGATAGTCAGTTTAGCCATTTAACATAAAAACCTAAACCTTAGAAGGCAGCGTCGCTCAGTTTCCACACGTAACAAAACTGACCACTTAAATCCACTTGACGTGAGTGACCGTGTCAGAGCGTGATGTGAGCTCCCATCCGTGAACAAAAACCACATGCTTTGCTGTGTGCTCACGCTCTTCCACTTCCTGAAAATAATAATTGTTTATTATATGAAAAGAAATGTGCCAAATGGAACTGGTCATTGTGTTATTTTATATCAAAGACCTTTCTCTTCGCCACAGTTCCAAAACATAATCCCAGCACAGAGAAAACAACAAGAACTAGCTGTTCCACCCTATAATAATGAGTTGGGTAATTGTTTATAGAAAGGGGGTCACTTGACATGTCTTTATGATGGTTGCGTGAGGCTGTAGCCCAAAACATAGGGAAGGGTCGCTAGCTGTTAAACTCTGTCAGCAATGTGTTAAAATGCAGAGACTACAGCAGGATCCCAAAGTTTAAGGTGGCACGGCTTGATTATAATGTCAACCAGACCATAATTATAAGTCCTGCTCAGTGTTTATGCCTATGACATAATTCCAAAGAGCGTTCAAAAGAGAGGAAACGCTGAACATCAAACAAAAATCCTCTGGTGGATGTGACACTGGCTCGAAATGCAAATTGCAGCTCTTTTCTTGTTTTCAGGAGACAAATCGATTCACAGTGAGAGTCATTTAAAAGATGGAGCACCAGTTTAGAAAGAAATCGGGATTATTAATGTGGCAGGCGGCCTGTGCGCTTTCATGGAGTGGAGGAAATTTGGTGTAAATCTGTCACAAATACACCACGGTTAATAGAAATAGCACAGCTGAGTGGTTGAGCAGGGTCGTGAGTTTCTGGGACATCTTCAGAGGAGGTGGAGGTAGGACACATCAGATGTGTTCTTACTACTCAAAGTACTTAGTTTAGTTTTAAACAAAATGTGCATGCAAAAGCCAGGATGTTATATCACGTGATAGGATATGAATATGTGGGAAATGGCTTTGGTTACTTTACTCCTTGGAAATGCTACCTTTGTCACTTTTGATTTATAGTTTCTAGGTTTTTTTTTTTAATCCCAGAGACTTATTTGTTCTTGTTATTGAAAGAAAAATATTTGCTTGGTTTCTTAATTTGATTTTTTTTGCCCTTGCAGCAGAATGATAAATGCTCTCTTCACATTTTTTAATACTTTGGGTTAGCTCCGACTACCATGCAGAGAATTACAGTCACAGTGCTTGTTTGCCACTTTTTGAATGCAGAGTGTATCTGTGGTCAGTGCGCTGGTGTTGAGGGCGGCTGAATAGGAAAGATTGGCTAAACAAGAACATGAGTCTTTTCCTAGTCAATGCTTAAACACAATGTTCCGCTGTGTTCCTGCGGAATTTTTTCTCTTCTGGAGAATGGGATATGGTCTATTCCAAGTAATACTACCTCACCATGTCATCTACCAAACAGTGACTGCACTTTGCATGTCAAAACCCTAGCAGTGTGGAGGGGCGTTTTTGGATGGAGCCCTGAGCTGTGGGAGGTCACTCTGTGGCTCTCTGTGTACGTGCAGAATGTGAATAACCTCAGAGCTGAACAACTATCCGCCTGTACGCTTTTTCTTTTTTTTTTGTTTTCCTTTAAGGAGTGAAACTCGTCAGGTTCGAGGGCTGCGGGGTGTGCGCGGAGCGGGTGACTCAGGGTGAAAGGGAGGCTTTCAGCTGGACACATTTCATGGATGTTTTGGGAAGCAGTGATGGAAACGGGGGAGGTCAGACAGCCCATTCCTTCCTCTGGGGTCCTTGCGGTGTCAGAGCAAAAAACAGAAGAAGGAGAGTACAGAATGTCTTCAGCCCCGTCTGATTTTAACCCAAGTGGAAACAAGTTCGGCCACACTTCTGCTCCTGCAGGTAGACTCGAGACCGTTGACTGAGGCCAGTGCTCCCATGAGACATCCCAAGGGAGATAAAAAAGAAAGGAATGAAAATTATAAGCTGCTACCCACACTTAGACTAATATTTACAAACTATACTTACAGCAAGAGTAAATGTTGAACATGGGGGCGGTTCTGGTTTTCCCAAAAATAAGCCAGTCAGTCTGGAGGGAAGGAGGGTGGGAGGAATTCAGGAGGGGATGCTGAATGTGTTGGAACTGATACAAAACTTGCGTAGTTGCTGCTTTAAATCCCACGACAGTACAAGTGACATACAGGTGCTGATATAAACACAGGTGGGTCTGATCCTAAAGAACGGCAGTACACAGTGTTCGCTGTTTATTTGATGAAAATAGGAAATAACTAATAATCAGCAAAAACAGATACTTTATTGGACACTTATATATGACACAACTCAGTTGGGAGCATTTTATCGTTGAAGATGGCTTAAAACGAGTAAATAAGAAACGAGCCTGTGTAGTTAGAACACTATATATGCAGTGTAAGTACAGACTTACACTAAACCAAAAGTGTCTTTTTTCACCTATGATGTCAGCCTAATAAATGAAAAGCATCTCAGTCTATTTGCTTAAAAAAAGAAGAAGAAGAAGAAGAAGAAAGAAAAACTAGTCGCACACTAGTCAAAAGTACAGCGTGATCCAGGTTAAATATTGATGAGGGCAGCTTGTGGCTGCTTACTGTTGCCTGTACAAATTTACTGAGTCACTGACTGCATGTTAAGTTTATACAACAAGGCACGCAGGGCCTGTAACCCATATTAATCTTTCACCACAACACTGAGCCTAGACATCAGCTTCTATTATTATCTCTTTGACCTCTCTGGCCCCTGTGATACCCAGCACTCCTCTCCGATACACCCCAAAGAATCAGTTAGAAGTCAGTAGGAAATGTTTATTGTACATTAAAGGCACTGAAGAACACAGACTGGATCATGTTGATTATGACAGCATTATGTTGCAATTCAAAAGAGTCTGGCTTATTATTCAGACAGTAGCGTGGTATGCACACATGTGGTATATTGTGTGAACAGAAGAAAACAGCATGAGGAACAATGAAATCAATGGCTTTTACACATTACATGAGTACTTATCAGAATACATCAGCACTGTATGTGATTTAAGAGCGCACAAATGCACATGGCTTGCATTCTGGATTCGCAATAACTTCGATCATTCAGTACATACAAAGATAAATAGTTCTCTGGGTGAATAACTGTTCAAATGAGACCACACAACGGGCATGTCAGCGAAAAAAAAAAAAACAGTCTAGAGGGAAATTTATTTTTCACCACCAGTTTATATTGCAATTCAGCGTGACTCCCACTAAATACCCTCATATAAATACCAATACGTACTTAAGATTTATTATGGTATGTGGTTTTTGAGGAGCCCACATCAAAGTTGTCATTATATCTTGTTCCATATTTAGGCCTTCTTGCCTAAGTCGCAGTTTTTCAGACCTGAAGGGCAAAACTGCATTTGAGTTTGCATTTTGCTCCCAATGCCAATTTCAGACTTCTCTTTAAAAAAGCACATCAGCTGTTGCAAATGTTTTTGCATTTGTGTGAACCGATAGCTTTTGCTTTAGTCACAAATATATTCTTTGTCATCCTAAAAGGGTGCACAATCTATTTGATGCAGACACAACTCCTCTTTAAGGATGCATACTTTACATAGCATTGCTCCCTTTCATTTTCAGAACCCATTCTCACACATCTTTTCACTGGCCTTTCAGTGATTCTCCCCTGAGTTTGGCAGTGATCTTGTAATTTAAAGGCTTCAGTGTTAAGCCATAGGAAGAGTTTAAAGAGAAGTCCTCATTTGGGCATTTTTCAAAGCTGCACTGGTGCAGAAGAATCGCAAAGAACACAAATATCTCAACTTTGGCTATCTGGTCCCCAATGCATCTTCTCTTCCCTGCTGAGAAGATCATCACATTGTTTGTGAAGTCTTTGTTTAGGGAGCCGTTTTCATCAATGAAGCGCGAGGGGTCAAAGATATGTGGGTCTTTCCACATCAGGGGGTCGTGATTGACGGACCACTGATTAATGAATACCACTGTGTCCTTGGGGATGGTGAGACCGCTGACAGTGACGTCTGAGGTTGTGGAGTGGGGGATGGTGACAGGAACAAAGCTGGTGTACCGCATGGTTTCATATATGAAGGCGTCCAGGTAAGCCAGGTGTTGTCTGTCCTCGACAGACGGCAGCCGGTTTCGCCCCACCACGTTGTCAATGAGTTCATGGAGTTTGGTTTGAATTTCAGGGTGTTTGGCCAACAGAAGGACAATCCAGTGAAGAGCAGTGGAGACGGTATCCAGACCTGCACCAATCAAGTCTGCCACAGTCGCCTCTGTGTAGCCTACAGTGAGCTCCTCGCCTTTCTCTGCCTCATTAAGGACACCAATGATGGCATCGCTTATGTCCCTGGTCACCTCTGGATCAAAGGTCTCCCTATGCTTCTCCACTTTGTTCTTGACGAATGCAAAGAAGTCCTGATTCAAGCTTTTGAAATTTCTGAAGACAGTGCGGACTGGATTAGGGAAAGACTGAAGCCAGGGCATCACGTCAACCAAGCTGCCAGCCCCTACTGTCTGTCCAAACCTATCCACCTTGTGCAACAAGGCTCTAAACTCCATATCATCATGTCCGTAACGCTTCCCAAAGCACAAGGCACAAATCACATTAGCAGCAGCAACTGTCAACTCATGAGCCGGGTTGAAATATTGGCCCTGAGCACTGAGTTTGAGGAAACTCTCAACTAGTTCTGTGGCTTCAGCCACAATCTGCTGCTCAAAGGCTTTCTTGGTCTGACTGTTGGCAGACGAGAAAGCTCTGATTGTAGATTGAGCAATTTTCCTGTGCATCTTCCACTGTTTGCTGTAATTTGTAAAAGTCATGCTTTTCCCCCCGGAAACGAATTGAAAAGATACAAAGTTGGGTCTACCTGCAAACTCTGTGCTGTGCTGTATCAGGGCCTGACGAATAACCTGGCCTCCATTCAGGACCACAACGTCACTGCAGCCCAGTCGTATCTGATACACTTCACCATACTTTTTCGCTAGTCTCGTGAAGGTGATGTGAGGCATCTGGCCCAGCTGCAAGGCATTGCCCACCACAGGCCATGCGAACGGTCCCGGCAGTCTTCTCCTGAGCTTGAGGTTCCTGACCCAGAGACAGGCTTCCAGACAGAAGAGGAAAACAAATGATACGACCAAAGCAGGCTGTACCTGTCCGCTCCATTCTCTGATGATGCTGCTGCTGCTTTTCACACCAAACTCTGCATCTGTTTGAGCCATTGCTGTTCTATCATCCACTGCATCTAATAAAGATTTCACTCAAAATTGAAAACAATTTCCTCTTTTTCTGGTCTTTAATATATTGAAATATTTGAGTGGAGAAAAAAAGTAGAGGGTTGCCTCTCAGGTGATTGAGAGTAGCTTGATCAGGTTGAGTAGTTAGCAGTGTAGCAGTGCGTCTTCAGACGACCACTTAAGAGGAATGCCGATTCAAGCCTTAACACTTCGCTTATATGTATCTCTACGGTGGGAGGGTTCAGCAGCTCAGGTTTTTTATTATCTCTCCCCTCCCATTTTGACCTTAGTCCTATTCCCACTCAGGACTGCTTCCAGCAGCGTTCCTTGTAGGATGATGTTGGAAAAGGACACCAGCTACTTAATTGACAATGTTGCCACAAAGCGCAGAATTACTGTTTTTGTGGCCAAAATGTACAAGAGAATGGCACATAATTAAAAAATAAACAACTTTCACATACCATGTGTGGCCAAAAATGAATGACCACAAAATATCGAATATGAATTTATCGTTGTGAGAGTTTATTCAAGGAGGTATATATTGTAATATATAAGACGAGGACTTTCAGGATTTTCAGTTTCCTTTGTTCTTTTCACTTTCCTACAACTTTCTGAGACCATTTTAAACATGACTTGGTTTTGGTTGTTTACAGCAAAGCTGTTAATTACAACCATGCAGGGAAAAGGCCTCTGGGATACCATCATGAAAGCTAGAGGTTTCGAACTCCAAACACTGAACCAGCACAATTTATTATGCTCTATAAAATATATAGACAATGTTATTGTTGGCATAATAGACCTTTATACAAAGGTCTCTGAGATAATGTCACTCTTAGGCTTGTGGTTGCATCAAAATAGTCTGAAACAGAATGCAAACAGCTGTAAATCTGCTTATGTAGGTGCTTGTGCAACAAGAAGATTCCAAAAAAAGCATCAGCTTGGGTTTTATTGATATCAAACCACAATTCAAATATTCCATAGTGCTCTATTTATGGAAAAAAACAAAGTGTCATGCTGCTGATATCATTAACAGGGGCGCAAAATCCTTTGAAACTGAGATATACACCTACATTAGTGAGCAGTGTTAAGATAAGTTATTTAGCGTAACTTTCAAGACTAAATAAAAATACATGTTGAGCTTTGAAAATTCACTTTTATTCATTTCAGATACAGCTTATTTTTGCATTACATAGAGCCTCTGCAGGTCTTGAATGAAACATTATCACAAAAACAACGCCTTAACAGCCTACTCGTGTTTATTTCATTTTTATCTTTGCCCCGATGCAGACAGAGAAACACATCCCTTGGCCATCGCAACATCGATTCCTGAATACAGTGGCTTTAAGAGAGTGCAGTGACATCCATGTAGCTTTGTAAAAGTTACTGTAAACAAACATGTCTATGCAAATTTGCTGCACATGTGTTTCATTGTACTGGGGAAGACATGCATTTGGCATGGGTAGTGCTGGAGTGCTTGTACAGTAAAAAGTTAAATCTGGGTCCATGAAGTTTGTGAAGTTCATTCTCCACTGCAGCATCACTTCTTCATCTTTTGAAAAAGGGACGTACGCTTCTTGATGAAAGACCCCGGCTCGGCTGCCCAGCTTCATAAACATGTCATTTTTGTCTCCTTTGATCAACACACTCTGTTTATTTTGTTCTTTCTGTGAGTACAGTAGATAGTGAAACAGCTTAAATTTAAATTCCTGAAAAAACAAAATCATATATATATACATATATATATATATATATAAACATTTTTATGTGACTTTATGTGGCAATGGTTAAATACATATATTTTACATATTACAAGTTACAACAATAAGTCAGCTAGTGACTTGATGACATTCACAAGCATTCAATACACAGTTATAATAGTTTAAACTGACTTTGAAAGGTTTTAGCTAATTTTTCCACTCACATGCTTAATAGGCATAAGACAAATGCACGGCCCAGAAATATGTACAAAAATGATCAAGTATAGTGTGAAACAAACATCTATTACCTTTACACTGTATCACAAGAGTCCACAAGCATGCTTTTTGACCTTTTGCAGCTAACGATACATCTTTAAAATCATGTCCTCAGCCCTGCACTGACAATAATTCAAATACAGAACATGTTACGATATGAATTAAATATCACTGTTAAATATGATAATCATACAACCATACTATTTAGTGCAGGTATATGGATAGCCTACTCTCATCTAAATGTCACAGGTGGGAAAGTATTTGCTGGAGTCTCAGTATTTGGGGGCAAGCTGTTCATGCTGGGGAAACTAAGCCAAGCAGCTTTCCTCTCAGCTTGGTGCTGACACGGAATGGAAGGGGCTTCAGTGCGAGCCCATAAGAGCAGTCGAGAGTGACGGGCTCAGAGGGGTTGCTCTCAAAACTGCACTGGTGTAGCAGGACTGCTGTAAATATAAATACCTCTACCTTTGCGATCTGGTTACCGATGCAGCGTCTTTTTCCTGTTGAAAAAATCATCACGCTGTTGGCTTTGTCTTTGTCGAAGACCCCGCTTTCGTCGAGGAAGCGTGAGGGGTCGAACACGTGATGGTCCTTCCACTTCAGAGGGTCGTGGTTGACGGACCACTGATTGACGAACACCACCGTGTCTTTGGGGATGTGGAGCCCTTCGATGGTGACGTCTGACGTTGTGGAGTGTGGGATGGTGAGGGGGACGAAGCTGATGAAGCGCATGGTCTCATAGATGAAGGCGTCCAGGTACGCCAGGCTGCTTCTGTCTTCAATCGATGGGAGTCTGTCTCGGCCGACTACTTTGTCTATGAGCTCCTGCAGTTTGGCTTGTATGTCTGGGTATTTGACCAGGAGGAGGACAATCCACTGCATGAAAGTTGAAACTGTGTCTTGACCTGCTCCAATCAGATCTGTGACTGTTGCCTCAACAAACTCTTTGGTCAGCCTGCTGTCTTCTCCGTGCTCAATCACACTGATGATGGCATCGCTCATGTCCCTCGTCACCTGAGGATTGAAGGACTCTCTGTGTTGCATCACTTTGTCTTTCACAAAACCAAAAAACTCTTCATTGATGTTCTTGAAGTTTTCATAGACACTACGGACTGGGTTAGGGAAGGACTGAAGCCAGGGCATGACATCTACCAAGCTACCAGCACCCACTGTCTCCCCAAACTTGTCCATTCTTTTTAGCAAGGTCCTGAACTCTAGGTCATCGTGTCCATACCTCCTCCCAAAGCAGAGAGCACACATGATGTTAGCAGAAGCTACTGTAAATTCATGAACAAGATCAGAATACCGTCCATCGGTGCTCTGACGCAATAATGCCTGCACCAGCTCCATGGCCTCGGCTGTAACGTGCTGCTCAAAGGCTTTTTTGGTCTGACTGTTTGCAGAGGAAAATGCTCTGAGGCTGGACTGTGCAACTTTCTTGTGTGCTTTCCACTGTTTGCTGTAATTAGTAAATGTCAAACTCCTGCCTCCCGAGATCATCTGGAAAGAGAGAAAGTTCGGTCTGCCTGCAAACTCGGTGCTGTGCTGTATCAGAGCCTGGCGGATTGCTCTTTCTCCATTCAAAACCACAACGTCACTGCAGCCCAGCCGGATCTGGTACACGTTGCCATATTTTTTGGCCAGCCTGGCGAAGGTGATGTGAGGCATCTGGCCCAGCTGCATTGCATTGCCGACCACGGGCCAGGCGAAAGGTCCCGGCAGTCTTCTCTTCAGCCTGAGGTTCCTGACCCAGAGGCAGGCTTCCACACAGAAGAGGAAAACAAAGGTGGCAACCAGAGCAGGATGGACCTGTCCGCTCCATTCTCTGATGATGCTGCTGCTGCTCTTCACACCAAACTCAGTGTCCAGTGCCATTGTGACAAGCCTCCTGCACACTTGCTTCTCAAAAATGATTTAAAAAATAGTTTCAAAGTTAGTAGAGCTGCTGACTATGTGGGGAAAATATAAATCACTTATATATCCATAGCATCTAAAAAAATAATATTTTAGATGTTACTGAAATGACAGTGAGGTCATTTTGATAATGAATAAAGTTTTTTTCTCCCTCAGACAGTCTTTTCATCAAGATCAGGCTTAAGTGCCTGATTTTTTGCTTCACTCCAGTGTCTTATATGTTTTGCAGTTGGTGGGCAGGGCTCGGGATAACTTTCATACTCCTCCCATTGTGGTAGCCCCGCAGACCCCGCTATATTATCTCTCCGCTTGCCGGTCGCTGTTGGAGGCGCGCACTTGAGAGAGCCGAGGGACACCGTGAGCGAGCAGCGTGAACGACGGAGGAGAGGGGAAAAAAGACGTAGCAACTGGTGACCGATTAACTAGGACAGTTTGTTTAACTGTCCTAGTTAGTGGGAGAACTTGCATAGTTTGCACATTTTGAAGAGCGTCTTTTGTGTGTGTGTGTGTG